GGCGCCGGTGTGGGGATCTCCTCGGCCTGGGCTGTCATGTCGGATCGCCTTGCAGAAGGGCCTGGGGTTGTGGGGAGATCTGGGAGCAGCTTCTGCTGTTCCTTACATTGGGATGATAGTGGAAAATGGAGGATTATAGTTCCCTAAAATATAGACGGGGAATGCAGAGCTCTCCCTAATGGGTATTTTTTTTTCTTAGCATGTGAGATATGCTAAAACAAATCACTTCTCTCTGTCCCTAATAGTTTGATTTCTGTTGTTTAGCTGGCAAAGAAATACCATCCTGATACAAATAAGGATGACCCTAAAGCTAAAGAGAAGTTCTCTCAGCTGGCAGAAGCCTATGAGGTAATGCACAGGATTTTATTCTCATGAAACGAAGGATTAGAGGGTAGATGGGAGGAGACAATTATTGTGTGCATTTCTTGTGAAACCATGGCTATTTTTTGATGTCTTGTACTTCAGGCATGGGTGCCTCTGTCCCAGTAGTGTCTCCAGGAAATCACTTGGCCCAAGTACCTGGTTTAGCTGTGGTCCATTTTGTGCTTGTTCAGTTTGGGCTCTTTCTTAGCAGCGAGTGACTGTCCTGGACACTGCGGTGCAATTATTGGTCAGTTAAATGAACAGACAAACAGAACCTGTCAGCAGTTACAGCTGCTGGAGACAGAGGCACCTTCTGCTCTCTTCCCCCAGCCCTGTTTCTTCCTGGCTCCTCACCTTGCTCAGAAATCATCTTGTGCCGCTCTCTCCTCTTGTGGGTTTTCAAATTTACCCCAGCACTCTAATCACCAGCTTTCACCCCAGTATTAACAATCGATGGTGTAATGCAAGTTCTTCCCTCCTGCCAGAAATGAGTGAGATCCTCCTATGTGAGAGATACGAGGGGCAGCAGCAGCTTTTCAGTCGTTCATGTGCTGCCGAGAGCTGGGTCACGGGCTGGTGGCGAGCAGCAGGAGCCTCCAGTTCTCCGGAGAGGAGCTGCTGGGCTGGCACAGGCTGCCCAGCTCCGTGGCACCATCCTGACAGCTCCACTCCTCTGCCCCCAGGTGCTGAGCGACGAGGTGAAGCGGAAGCAGTACGATGCCTACGGCACGGCCAGTTTTGCCCCCGGCGCGGCGGGTGCCGGCGCGGGCAGCGGGCGCCAGTACTGGAGCAGCGGCCCCTCCATCGACCCTGAAGAGCTGTTCAGGAAAATCTTTGGGGAGTTTTCGGGATCCCCTTTTGGGGATTTTCAGAGTGCCTTCGATCAGCCACAGGAGGTATGAGTCGTGTTTGTTTTCTGAGGAATGGAATGAAAGGGAAGAAATGGAGCCAGCGGAAGCTGGAGGGGGCCAGCAGAAGCTGGAGAGGGCCAGCAGAAG